ACACATACTCAGATGAGTGCATGACATCTCCATGTGTCTAGTAGACAGCAGAACACATACTCAGATGGGTGCATGACATCTCCATGTGTCTAGTAGACAGCAAAACACATACTCAGATGGGTGCATGACATCTCCATTTGTCAAGCAGACAACAGAACACATACTCAGATGGGTGCATGACATCTCCATGTGTCTAGTAGACAGCAGAACACACGATCAGATGGGTGCATGAGATCTCCATGTGTCTAGCAGACAGCAGAACACATACTCAGATGGGTGCGTGACATCTCCATGTGTCTAGCAGACAACAGAACACATACTCAGATGGGTGCATGACATCTCCATGTGTCTAGTAGACAGCAGAACACATACTCAGATGGGTGCATGACATCTCCATGTGTCTAGCAGACAGCAGAACACACATTCAGATGGGTGCATGACATCTCCACGTGTCTAGCAGGCAGCAGGACACATTCAGATGGGAGCATGACATCTCCATGTGTCTAGCAGACAGCAGAACACACACTCAGATGGGTGCATGACATCTCCACGTGTCTAGCAGGCAGCAGGACACATTCAGATGGGAGCATGACATCTCCATGTGTCTAGCAGACAGCAGAACACACACTGAGATGGGTGCATGACATTTCCATGTGTCTAGCAGACAGCAGAACACACACCCAGAATGGTGCCTGACATCTCCATGTGTCCCCTAGACTGCCACACACTCAGAATGGTGCAAGACATCTCCATGTGTCTCCTAAACTGCCACACACTCAGAATGGTGCAAGACATCTCCATGTGTCTCCTAAACTGCCACACACTGAGATGGGTACATGACATCTCCACGTGTCTAGCAGACAGCAGAACAAACACTGAGATTGGTACATGACATCTCCACATGTCTAGCAGACAGCAGAACACACACTCAGATGGGTGCATGACATCTCCATGTGTCTAGCAGACAGCAGAACACACATTGAGATGGGTGCATGACATCTCCATGTGTCTAGCAGACAGCAGAACACATACTCAGATGGGTGCATGACATCTCCATGTGTCTTGTAGCCAGCAGAACACACACTGAGATGGTTGCATGACATCTCCACGTGTCTAGCAGACAGCGAACACACATTGAGATGGGTGTATGACATCTCCACGTGTCTAGCAGACAGCGAACACACACTGAGATGGGTGTATGACATCTCCATGTGTCTTGTAGCCAGCAGAACACACACTGAGATGGGTGCATGACATCTCCACGTGTCTAGCAGACAACAGAACACACACTGAGATGGGTGTATGACATCTCCACGTGTCTAGCAGACAGCGAACACACACTGAGATGGGTGTATGACATCTCCACATGTCTAGCAGACAGGAGAACACACACTGAGATGGGTGCATGACATCTCCACGTGTCTAGCAGACAGCAGAACACACACTGAGATTGGTGCATGACATCTCCACATATCTAGCAGACAGCAGAACACACACTGAGATGGGTGCATGACATCTCCACGTGTCTAGCAGACAGCAGAACACACACTCAGATGGGTGCATGACATCTCCATGTGTCTAGCAGACAGCAGAACACACACTCAGAATGGTGCAAGACATCTCCATGTGTCTCCTAAACTGCCACACACTGAGATGGGTGCATGACATCTCCACGTGTCTAGCAGACAGCAGAACAAACACTGAGATGGGTACATGACATCTCCACATGTCTAGCAGACAGCAGAACACACACTGAGATGGGTGCATGACATCTCCATGTGTCTAGGACATAGCAAAACACACTCAGATGGGTACATAATATCTCCATGTGTCTTGTAGACAGAAAACACACTCAGAATGGTGCATGACATCTCCATGTGTCTAGTTGATAGCAGAACACACACTCAGAATGGCATGACATCTCCATGTGTCCCCTAGACTGCCACACACTCAGAATGGTGCAAGACATCTCCATGTGTCTCCTAAACTGCCACACACTCAGATGGGTGCATAACATCTCCATGTGTCTTGTAGACAGAAAACACACTCAGAATGGTACCTGACATCTCCATGTGTCTAGTTGACAGCAGAACACACACTCAGAATGGTGCCTGCCATCTCCATGTGTCCCTTAGACTGCCACACACTCAGAATGATGCAAGACATCTCCATGTGTCTCCTAAACTGCCACACACTCAGAATGGTGCAAGACATCTCCATGTGTCTCCTAAACTGCCACACACTGAGATGGGTGCATGACATCTCCACATGTCTAGCAGACAGCAGAACACACACTGAGATTGGTGCATGACATCTCCATGTGTCTAGCAGACAGCAGAACACACACTGAGATGGGTGTATGACATCTCCACATGTCTAGCAGACAGCAGAACAAACACTGAGATGGGTACATGACATCTCCACATGTCTAGCAGACAGCAGAACACACACTCAGATGGGTGCATGACATCTCCATGTGTCTAGGACATAGCAAAACACACTCAGATGGGTACATGATATCTCCATGTGTCTAGCAGACAGCAGAACACACACTGAGATGGGTGCATGACATCTCCATGTGTCTAGCAGACAGCAGAACACACACTCAGAATGGTGCCTGACATCTCCATGTGTCCCTTAGACTGCCACACACTCAGAATGGTGCAAGACATCTCCATGTGTCTCCTAAACTGCCACACACTCAGAATGGTGCAAGACATCTCCATGTGTCTCCTAAACTGCCACACACTGAGATTGGTACATGACATCTCCATGTGTCTAGCAGACAGCAGAACACACACTGAGATGGGTACATGACATCTCCATGTGTCTTGTAGACAGCAGAACACACACTGAGATGGGTGCATGACATCTCCACATGTCTAGCAGACAACAGAACACACACTGAGATGGGTGCATGACATCTCCACATGTCTAGCAGACAACAGAACACACACTCAGATGGGTGCATGACATCTCCATGTGTCTAGGACATAGCAAAACACACTCAGATGGGTACATAATATCTCCATGTGTCTTGTAGACAGAAAACACACTCAGAATGGTGCATGACATATCCATGTGTCTAGTTGACAGCAGAACACACACTCAGAATGGCATGACATCTCCATGTGTCCCCTAGACTGCCACACACTGAGATGGGTGCATGACATCTCCATGTGTCTCCTAAACTGCCACACACTCAGATGGGTGCATAACATCTCCATGTGTCTTGTAGACAGAAAACACACTCAGAATGGTACCTGACATCTCCATGTGTCTAGTTGACAGCAGAACACACACTCAGAATGGTGCCTGACATCTCCATGTGTCCCCTAGACTGCCACACACTCAGAATTGTGCAAGACATCTCCATGTGTCTCCTAAACTGCCACACACTCAGAATGGTGCAAGACATCTCCATGTGTCTTGTAGACAGCAGAACACACACTGAGATGGGTGCATGACATCTCCACATGTCTAGCAGACAACAGAACACACACTGAGATGGGTGCATGACATCTCCACATGTCTAGCAGACAACAGAACACACACTCAGATGGGTGCATGACATCTCCATGTGTCTAGGACATAGCAAAACACACTCAGATGGGTACATAATATCTCCATGTGTCTTGTAGACAGAAAACACACTCAGAATGGTGCATGACATATCCATGTGTCTAGTTGACAGCAGAACACACACTCAGAATGGCATGACATCTCCATGTGTCCCCTAGACTGCCACACACTGAGATGGGTGCATGACATCTCCATGTGTCTCCTAAACTGCCACACACTCAGATGGGTGCATAACATCTCCATGTGTCTTGTAGACAGAAAACACACTCAGAATGGTACCTGACATCTCCATGTGTCTAGTTGACAGCAGAACACACACTCAGAATGGTGCCTGACATCTCCATGTGTCCCTTAGACTGCCACACACTCAGAATGATGCAAGACATCTCCATGTGTCTCCTAAACTGCCACACACTCAGAATGGTGCAAGACATCTCCATGTGTCTCCTAAACTGCCACACACTGAGATGAGTGCATGACATCTCCACATGTCTAGCAGACAGCAGAACACACACTGAGATTGGTGCATGACATATCCACGTGTCTAGCAGACAGCAGAACGCACACTCAGATGGGAGCATGACATCTCCATGTGTCTAGCAGACAGCAGAACACACACTGAGATGGGTGTATGACATCTCCACATGTCTAGCAGACAGCAGAACAAACACTGAGATGGGTACATGACATCTCCACATGTATAGCAGACAGCAGAACACACACTCAGATGGGTGCATGACATCTCCATGTGTCTAGGACATAGCAAAACACACTCAGATGGGTACATGATATCTCCATGTGTCTAGCAGACAGCAGAACACACACTCAGAATGGTGCCTGACATCTCCATGTGTCCCCTAGACTGCCACACACTCAGAATGGTGCAAGACATCTCCATGTGTCTCCTTAACTGCCACACACTCAGAATGGTGCAAGACATCTCCATGTGTCTCCTAAACTGCCACACACTGAGATTGGTGCATGACATCTCCACGTGTCTAGCAGACAGCAGAACACACACTGAGATGGGTAGATGACATCTCCATGTGTCTAGCAGACAGCAGAACAAACACTGAGATGGGTGCATGACATCTCTATGTGTCCTCTAGACTGCCACACACTCAGAATAGTCAACATGACATCTCCATGTGCCCACTTGACTGCCACACACTCAGAATGGTGCATGACATCTCCATGTGTCATCTAGACTGCCACACACTCAGAATGGTGCATGACATCTCCATGTGTCATCTAGACTGCCACACACTCAGAATGGTGCATGACATCTCCATGTGTCATCTAGACTGCCACACACTCAGAATGGTGCATGACATCTCCATGTGTCATCTAGACTGCCACGCACACTTGAGTATAGTAGAGCTGTCATCCTGACGTAGTACATTATTTTGTAATTGTAGGGATATCAACCCAGATGTAGAGTTTGAGGTGTACAACTATAATATAACAACTGTGGACAACTTCAATCACTTTGTGGAGAGGATCAGGTGAGTCAGTGTAAATATGTCATCACAATTAGTGCCAAGCATGGGTAGTATGTAGTCAGTGTAAATATGTCATCACAATAAGTGCCAAGCATGGGTAGCGTGTAGTCAGTGTAAATATGTCATTACAATAAGTGCCAAAGATAAGTTCCGTGTAGTCAGTGTAAATATGTCATCACAATAAGGTCCAAAGATAAGTTCTGTGTAGTCAGTGTAAATATGTCATCACAATAAGTGCCAAACATGGGTAATGTGTAGTCAGTGTAAATATGTCATCACAACAAGTGCCAAAGATGGGTAGTGTGTAGTCAGTGTAAATATGTCATCACAATAAGTGCCAAAGATAAGTTCCGTGTAGTCAGTGTAAATATGTCATCACAATAAGTGCCAAACATGGGTAATGTGTAGTCAGTGTAAATATGTCATCACAACAAGTGCCAAAGATAAGTTCCGTGTAGTCAGTGTTAATATGTCATCACAATAAGTGCCGAACATGGGTAATGTGTAGTCGAGTAAATATGTCATCACAATAAGTGCCAAAGATAAGTTCTGTGAAGTCATTGTAAATATGTCATCACAATAAGTGCCAAACATGGGTAATGTGTAGTCAGTGTAAATATGTCATCACAACAAGTGCCTAAGATGGGTAATGTGTAGTCAGTGTAAATATGTCATCACAATAAGTGCCAAAGATAAGTTCCGTGTAGTCAGTGTAAATATGTCATCACAAAAAGGGCCAAACATGGGTAATGTGTAGTCAGTGTAAATATGTCATCACAATAAGTGCCAAAGATAAGTTCCGTGTAGTCATTGTAAATATGTCATCACAATAAGTGCTAAACATGGGTAATGTGTAGTCAGTGTAAATATGTCATCACAACAAGTGCCAAAGATAAGTCCTGTGTAGTCAGTGTTAATATGTCATCACAATAAGTGCCGAACATGGGTAATGTGTAGTCAGTGTAAATATGTCATCACAACAAGTGCCAAAGATAAGTTCCGTGTAGTCAGTGTAAATATGTCATCACAATAAGTGCCAAGCATGGGTAGTGTGTAGTCAGAGTAAATATGTCATCATGTTTCTTTTCACTCTCTCTCTTCCCCTAGTCTCTATGTATCTCTCTCTCTGTCAAACATTTATGTCTTTTTTTTAGTGATTTGTAAATACCAGGAGAGGACAAGCTAACTTTGAGTGTACAATTTCCATTTATGTGGGTCATAAAAACTATAAGAGAGCCTTTGGAAGACCCCAAACTAGCCTTAAATTTAATTTTTATCTTAACCTGCATTACTGCTTGTTCTTGACAAAAACAAGAGCTTAGTGATGTCTTGCTGAAGAAGAAGTTGTTTCAACTATCTGACAACTAGCTCCCATGTGACCACAGAATTGATGACATCACGGATCAGCATGTTACTGCTGTCATTCACAGAAGCAAGACCTGTGTTTTTGATCTCAGTCAAAAACTTGTTCAACCCTTGTGTGTTTGATTCTTTTGTGAATTTCTCTTGTGACTATATTGTGCCTCCGGTTTGTATCTTTATATATTTCATATGATTTACACCATAGCATAATTATTTCACCACAGTAATCTCAGGTGTCTTGTTGTTTCAAATAACCACCGTGAATATTTTACATGGCCACAGAATCTCGTGGCTTGGATTCTGTTTTCCTTTGTGTTGCCTGGTACTTCATCATTAAGTATTCTTGCAATTATATTTTTTATTTATGTGGTGTTGTTTTATGTGTTCTCGTAAACCTGTTTTTCATAAACCAGGGCGGGGACGCATTGTGATTACAGTCTGCGTCATTGCAGGTAACATTCTCTGCCCCCAGGAATTCCTCATGCGGAGCAGCAAGTTGTCTCACTCCTGCCACCGTTTCCAAAGCCGCTCTCCGGTTGGCTGTTCTAGCAGTTACCAGTCAGACTCTGAAGCCTCCTTTGTTCCACCCTATAAAGGATCGACGTCTGAGGTCGACGTCCACCTCTGCTTCAACCAGGCGACTGATTGGTTGTCTGACCGGCTGGAGGCCGTGGATCCTTTGCCTGGCCAGGGCAGGGATAAGTGGGACCCAATTTGGTTCAATCCCACCTCCATCCCTCCGAATCCCTTGATCAAATATGATCACAGCCTTTAATGAGGACTTCTCGAAAAAAATACAAAAAAAGAGGATATTCCTATCCATTCCTTCCAGCTTGTGGACACTGCCCACACCCTTGATGAAGACTTACACCGCATGACAGGCTCCAACGGCCCCACCACCATCCGCATTCAAGACATCAAGCTCACCTATGTTGAGACGGAACTCAGACGCTCCCTCAAGCCACTATCACTCATGGCGTCCACCTCCAAGACCATTATGCAGGACCTCTTGGAGGATAACCCCCATTGACAGGACCACCTCACCACTGTCCTCTCCTACCTCCATCGACAGGTGGAACACATGAGGACACATATGCGCACCTCCTCCGTCAACCATAGTCGTCTACCTTCTTCTTTAATGGCAAAGTCTCAAAGACTCTCTCCCGGATATCAGCCTTTCACCAGGGATGAGACCTCCCTCAAGGCTCTGGCCCACATCTCTCAGTCTGCTTCATTCAAGCCATCTAGGTCAGCTACCTATCAACGTAGGCACAACTTCCTTCAGCCGTCCTTCCTCCCCATCAGTATATGGAATTCGGAACTCATGCCTACCTTCTGTCTCCAGTTGATTGGGGGCCTCTTCAAAACTGACTGAGACCTCCTGTCAGGTGAGACTGAATCCAACTCCAACTCATGCATGCTGTGCTAGTGGCAAGCGATCTTGGACCTTCTATCATCAGCACAGGACTTGACCTCCAGAGGATGACTCCAACTGTGCCCGATTCAGATGTTCCTGGCACCTTACATCAGACGCCAAGAATTGTCTGTATCCATTGCCCTCCCAGACCACCTCATGCTTCATGGTGGTGGACGGTAGAACGAACGTCTTAGACGGTGTCTCCTTGATAGAGCCTATGACCTCGTTACACCTATTCGTTGATGCCTCTCTTTTAGGATGGGGAGCACACCTGGAAGTGGCATATCAACAACCTGGAACTAGATGAGCTCATACTGGCTCTCTCTCACAGGAAGCATGCCCTTCAGCACGCACAGATCAGCATCTCAACAGAAAACATCACCGTCATCTGGTGTCTCCAGAACCAGGGAACGACTCGCTCCAACTCACTCCTTCAGCAAACGAGCCAGTTCTTCAACCTGGTCGATCAATTGGGGCTCCAATTCCGAGGCACGCCCTTTGAACCTTTGAACCAGTCCATTCCCACCTGATGGAAAAGACAATCTTCCTCCTGGCTCTCCCAACAGCAAGAACCAGCTCCCAGGACAGCCCGACAGATCCTTTCTCATCCCGCCTCTATCGTCGATACGGAAGCGGAGGACTCCTACTGTGTCCAGTGAGAGCGCTGCGATGTTTCATCTGCCGTTCAAGGGATCGCCGCAAACAACGCAGTCATCTCTTTGTTCCTGTATCGTCGACATCGCAAGTGGAAGTTAGCCATTATGGAAGGCTGTTTCTGGTGATCTGACACCGTATTTTGACTGTCACTACCTGAGAGATGTCACCTTAGAAGACGTGTAAGGCACGCACAGAGCACGCATACCTATCCAGATCTGGCCTCTTGTCCTCTCTGTTGCGTACCAGACTAGAAGTTTACATGCTCATGCATTTTGGCTCGGTACGTCAATTGTATCATTTATCTTCTACGGTTGTATCGATACCTGTATATTTGGCATACCTAACTCCCTCCTTCCCTGTCGACAGTAATGGTCGATCGACACCGAGCTTGGCCTTCGCTGATTGGCTAAGGGATTTTAGAGAGTTTTGGGATGGAAGATCACATCTGAAGGTTTGCCCACCACCTTTCCGTCGCATTCAGATGCATTAAGGAGTAATGCAGGATAAGTTAAAAATTCTAGTATAATCCAGATATTTTTTATATTGGTATACTTGTCCTGCATTACTGCGTCTAAAGGGACCCTCCCGTCACAGAGTTGCCTCCCCACAATGTCTTCAGATGCTCTGTTTTTAGCAGTAATGTGCTGATCCATGATGTCATAACTTCCCTGGCCACGTTGGAGCTGTGTGATAGGGCAGTTGAAACAACTTCTTCTTCAACAAGACCTCACACAGCTCAAAAACAAGCAGTAGATGCATTAAGGAGTAATGCAGGATAAGTATGCAAAAATCTATAAAAAAATCTAGGATTTTACTTGTTTGGCCAAAAAAAATGCCATCAAATTTTTCACTTTAAGAAAGTACAGGAAAGCTAAAACTTTGAGTGAATACAACAGTTTTACACAATACTTACATTGCTCTATATACAAATTGTTACCACATTGTTTCTTCTTGCAGTTGGTATTTGGTGATTATTTTGAACATGAAAATGCTGAGAAACCCTTTTGACTGTTGACTTTACATTTAATGGATTGATATGTATCACACTATTCAAAACATCGATCCTTATAAAAATCATAGTTAACCTTATCCTCACTCATACTAATTTGCTTATCTCTTTTTCTTCACGAAACGGAGTGGAAACCTCTTGTGCAGTGATCCCTGTGAACAGAAAACATCTCACCCAAACGCACTAGCATTGGTTCTCCTGCTGTTGCGATGAGGTCCGGGAACCATGTTCTCTCCGGCCAATAAGTCACAATTTATACTTATCCTGACTCATACACTGAAGCCACCTGCCCAGCTGTCCTTGCTTTCAGATGTGTTTCATAGTAAGAAAATTGAAGAGAAAATAAGGAGTGATGAGTCAGACTGTTGGTCGGTGTGCATGCGCGTAAGAGGAGTGAGTTTGGGTGAGATGTTTTCTGTTCACAGGGATCACTGCACAAGAGGTTTCCACTACATTTCGTGAAGAAAAAGAGATAAGCAAATTAGTATGAGTCAGGATAAGTATAAATCACATATTTATCACAAAATGATGCATTTTATTGACACTTTGTGCTGTTGGAGTATGTAACTAGGTGACGTATCCATCTGAGTTTAGGTTAAGAAGATGTATGATGTTGTTTGTGTGATCACAGGAGCGGTGGACTGAAGGTGGACACACCAGTGGACCTGATTCTCAGCTGTGTGGACAACTTTGAAGCAAGAATGACAATCAACACGGTGAGTTTTTTTTTTTTAATGCATGCTGGAATGAAAACTTTTACTATTTAATCAGCTCCATCATTAATCAATAGCTTAAGTTACATTTTCAAGTCTAGAACTAGGTATATCTTTATGGTAGGCCATAAACTGAAAAAGTATTGAGTGACTTGTGTGTCAGGTCAAGGTCACAGTGAAGGTCAGGAGTAAATTATGTTTGCCAACCGTTTGCACTAAAATGCCCTTTCCTGCAGAACTATTTACGTCATATGGATGCAGTGGTTATATGATTTGAATAGTTACCCAGGTACCCCAGACAAGTGATGTCAACTTTATGATGACAGTAGTAGAAATGAGTGGGACATGCAAAATAGTCATAGTTTCACTGAAATCCACCTAGGAGGGTCTTGATTGGGGTGTTGGTCAGCAGTACAGTTTGGAGCCTATAGTCAGTCATCATTATTTTGTTGCCTTTGAAAGGAAACCCATTTGAAGAGAGGATAAGCTGTCAAGTTGAATCTGAAGTATGAAATACCTCTGTGCAAATGCACATCTTCAGTCTGTCTGAAGGGAGCATTTGGGACAACTCGTTCTGCTCCCATTTCATTACTGCAATTCGTGGTTTGCAAATACCAAAATTTGTTGTGTTGTTACATCTAGTCACATATGACTTTTACGAGATTTACGTTGTTTCTATTTAAACTAAGCAATATTTATAGAGATTTTTCATCAATCTTTTGTCATACAAATGAGACTTTTCTTATGTTTACGATAGTTTTTTATCCCCCACCACAAAGTAGGTCAGGGGGTATAGGAACAGAGTTCGTCAGTCACTTCGTCCGCTTCTCAAAGGGACTTATTTTCTCTAAAACTATGTAAATCAGAGAAATGAAATTTTACACTCTGATGGTCATGATGTCAAATGAGTTCGAAAATTGGTGTCGTATATTCATTTTATGGCCCATGCATGAAGTTGCCTGAATGAAAGTTTGCATGCATATCTAAGAGATACTTGGCAAGACTGAGTTTGAAAACTAGTCCCCTAAATTAATATTTTTTTACAGTTTACAGAGTTTACAAGCCCTTGATCCATGTTCTTTACTTGGTGCATAGTGTCTGTAATTGGGACAAGTTTTAGAAGAAACTACTGAAGTTAGCTTATCTAAGAGCTTAGGCTTCAACAAATAAAAGAAATGGTTCTCAGGCAATGGCTTGCCCTGCAACACTTGCTCAATAGTTCTCTGCCAGATAGCAGGGGTTGTCTTGATATCAAAAGGTAACCAGTTATATCTGTAAAGTCCTTTTGAAGTGTTAAAAGTGAGATACCTTGTTGATTCATCCTCCACTTCCATTTGTAGATAAGCCTGTCTCATGTCTGTCTTCATGAAATAATGTGCTCCTGACAGTTTTGCAAAGACATCTTCTACCTTTGGCATTGGGTGTATCACATCTTGCAGCACTGGGTTCACAGTGATCTGAAAGTCTCCGCTCATTCTGACCTAGCCATTTCTTTTCAAGATGGGAAAAATGTGGGCAGCCTATTCACTGAAATCAACCTTGGATGTGATACCAGACTGTTCAAGTCTCTCTGGCTCAGCTCCAACTTTATCCTGGAGCAGTTATGGCACATTTGTTGCCTTTTGGGTGCACGATCCTCTGGTACACTTTGCCTTGACTTCATTTAACTTTCCTAGTCCTTCCCTGAATACTGACTCATACTTCTGTAGAATGTCCTGTACTTTGGACAAACATGCCTGTTGAAGGTGACCACTCTCTTGCATTTGTGACATATAGCCTCTTTGAATCTACAGTCGTTAAGATTATGACCACCCCTCCCACAGCGATAACATGGTTTGTAGTAAGTGTTCTTGGGTCTTGCGTAACCATTCACACTCATAGACTGCGATGAAGTACCTTGAATTTCACTGATATCCCTCAAAGCAGATTCATCAAGTCATTCATTCAGACAGACATTTACTGACTGTTGAGGAGTGATTTCATGATTCAGGCTGGTGATGTCATGTAAAATGAAATCTTTCACCTATTTCCGTTGGTTGATGGTTTAGGTGGTCATTCAAGGTCGTGATCATATTGTCATTATTTAGTGATGCTGGTATTTGGGGGGAGATTACATGAGAGTGATAATAGTCGCTACATGTTTTTCATTCTTAACATCTTCAGCAATGAAAACCTGCTCTGCCCTTTCAACAGATGGCTCAAACATTGCCAGTGAACCTACGATGCCCCACAACCAGTAACAACACATAGATAACATGCATGAAGTACTTTCGCCTGTTGAATAACTTGGTCCGGCTATGTCCTGAATCCACTAACAACGACGAATATATAGTCTAACACATGAAATATTCACAGAGAAAATGTACTACTAAGGCACCATGTGCCATTCAAGCAGATGACAAACAGGCCAAAGTTCAGATCTTGACGGAAGGGCCGGGGGTTTTTGCTCAGCAAGCGCATGTGTGGGTTGTACAAAAGGAGCAGTCATTTCTCTGGATTATCATCACGCATATAACATGCATAACATCAATACACTACATGGACTTTAATCCATTATCCGTTTGTAATCCATTGTATTACTTTTATCAAAAATTTGATTCAATTTTGATGACATTAATTTCGACGAAATCCTGTTTGAAATGATGGGCAAATCACATCAACTCACCATGAACTCGCTTTAAGAAGAGAACATTTGTTGTTAAAGATACAAAGTATTCGGTCTTCATATCACTGTATTGTGATCACGCAATTTCTCAAGAACCAGGGGGTACATTTCAGTCAGACCATGTTAATGAAGAGGGAATAGTGTTATGCCTCACAGAAACCCATCTCCAAGATGAGGAAATACACTAATAAGATCGTCTCCCTTCTCTTTCATTCCCGCACAAGGCATCTGATCATGTAGTAGCAATGCTAGTTAAGAGAGATCTGAGTTACACACAGTTTCATTGGCCAACATCTCTGGAGCTGATGGCAGTTATGGTTCAGAGACATCTGTATTGGTTGTTGTCGTAAACGGACCTCAAGGCCCACTTAGGAACTTTCTGCGTCTTTTGGATGAAGCTATATCCTCACTTCACACAGGAATGGGGAAAACAATTCTGACAGGAGACTTCAACATGAATAATCATGTACAACTCTGTCAGTTGATGAACAAATTTGACCTTCATCTTGTGCAAGGCAGACAAAGATCTACACATATTAAGGGTGGAGAACTTTATCTGATATTCACACTGTTTAACCGACACAACCAGTCCCTGTCTTCGTCACTGGCCACTTCCTGGTGCAATCTCATTAAAATCAGACCTCAGTTCTCGCTAACGCTAAACAAAGATCTGAGGACATCCCATTAAGGGTCACGTCAGAACGACCTTTCATCCGACCAATCAGAGCGTCGCTCCAGATTATGAAAGTGACAGTCGGAATGTAATTTCTAATCATCGAACCTCGAAAACTTTAACACGGGGTATTCCGAACGATAGTTACGGGTCTAACGACTGAATCCATACAATCTAGACCATCTATTAGCCATTCCAGAATGTTCCTTTGGTTCAGGTTTCAAATTTGTAATCGAGAATTTGTCAAAATTTGTTTCGCAGCGTAGTCGCCAATTTGATATTAGTGCCAAAAAGCACAAGAAAGCTGCCTTCTAATTGGTCATTTTATTGGTCATTTCATTGGTCATTTCATTGGTCGGTCAAAGTTCGCGCAAGGTCGTTCTGACGTGACCCGTAATGGGATGTCCTCAGATCCTTGTTTAGCGGTAGCGAGAACTAAGATCTGACTTTAATGAGATTGCTTCCTGGTGTGGGTGAAGATGTAGTAGGTTTGTAACCCCATGAAGCATAACTGTACTTACTTGACTTGCAGGGAAAATGTTCCACCAACACACTGAAATACTTTTACATTTCAGGGAGGGATATTGTTTCATGCCCGGACTACTTGTTGTTTTTGTAGGTTTTGAATTGAAATCCTTTCTTATGAAGATGTTCTATTTCTATTAAACTTCCCGTTTCAAAATCTTAAGGAGAAATATTGTGTGACTACTTTACTTAAGTTTAAGGAAATTATGTACGTTATCATTTTGTAGCAGCGGGGGTACATTGTCACACTGTCACAAATACTTGTCAGTTATGACAATGGCCATGACATGAGGTATTTTTTAAATTAAATCACCCATAGACACCCATAGATGTGTTAACAGCTGATTGCTATTTCCGGCTTATTTTACGAGACAACTACACATGTGATTGTTATCTCTGCATATGAAACATTGTCCAGCATACAGTACACAAATACAATTGAATTTGTAAATCATCACGTCTAGTGATATTTTATCATAATTTTCATGTTTTCATTGGGCAAATTTACAAATGGCAAAGCAAGCACAAAACCTGACCTTTACCGGTACATGATATGTGCACTAAAGCAGTACGCATGTAAAGGGAAAAGTAACCGTGCACCATATTGGATCGCATTGTGTTTGATAAGTTTTGTAGCATTTCACTGCCTGGGTCATGTGTTTGAGGTGCGGATTATATAAGGATTTTTACATTTTTTAGAAATGGAAATAAAAACGAAACGTGCATGAAGATGTGGGCGGCGTCTGAGAACCAAGACTGTTATGTTTTTAGTGTTATCAAGAGCTTATCTAAGAGCTTCCAGAGAAGGGGAATTTTTGTGTGTATTAATTTCACATTTAATCATTATTTCTGATGACATAAAGTGGCCCAAATATCTGTCTCTTCTTAAGGCTAAATAGGACTCTTGTTTATAGTTTTTTTTCACTCCTACATGAACAAACAATATTCTAATGTGCCCCATGGCGGGGGATAGAGATAATGCTGTATTCTTATTCTTCTAGTTGTTTTGCGCTGAAAAGTATTCCCCATCAGGACCCTCATGGAGGGACGTAATATTTTGTTTGCATATCGTTTAACCCTTTGAAATGTTCTTAAATAACTTGCAACTGATATGGAAGAATATATTCACTCTCATGGTCATACATTCAAACATGTATATGTTTATGAAATTGAAGAAGTTTTGTTGTAAAGATTTGCAGATAAAATTTTAGTACATATCCTAAGGATGGGGATTCCTTCTTTGAAGGTTATAAGATGGTTCTGCTTCTTTGTGTACTAAACAGACCCCTTGTGTTGGCACGACATGCCAGCACTTATGCCTTCAACCAGAACTAGTCATGTGATTGGCTGAAATTTAGAATCAAGGTCATGATACCGGAATTCCGTGCAACTTTCTTAATAAGGAGGCTAGAGGCATGATATTCCCTGCCTTTAAGATGCACTTCATTAGACATGTTTTTTTGCAAACCAGATTTGAAGTCATTACACTGGAAGTGCCAATAACTTTCTTAGGAAGCTACCTAGAGGTATGGGCTTACTGTTTTAAAGTTATTTTGCATTCAATAACTTTGCATTTGTTTCCTCAAACTGGAAATAATGTTACCAAGCGATGCATACATGTAACTTTCATATTAAGGTAGCCAGAGGGATGGGAGTTTTCCCAACTAGAAATGATATCATTGAAACCAAAAGCTCTGAATGCATTCAACTTAAAATTGTACAGCCCTGGGAATTCCAAAACAGAAATGATGTCATTAGCAGCACAAAGATTTTTGACATAAGATATTCTTCTTCCATGGACTTCTTCCTGTTGGCCCTTGGAATTCTTTTGATACAGTTGTCATGAAGATGTCAAAGGTCAAGATCAAAAGCTAAAAATCACACTAAAAAAACTGTTACATCATAATCAGTTTCTGGGGCTTTGTTAGCTCTACAGGATGAAACTTTATCTTTCATATAATTGCTACCACATGAAATCTTCATAACATGTCTGGTGAAGGTCATCTTTGAGGTTATTGTGAAACATTACTGTATAATTCATTGCCAGTTACTGTTGCCCTTCTACTTGTACAGTCCTAAGACTTTGTAATTGTTGCATCATAGGAAATTGTCTTTAATAAGGTCAATTTTGGGAATTTGGTATTTGGGATTGATGGTATTTTTGGACTTTATAAGCTTGAGAAAATGGCAGTGATGGAGCTGCTTCTGTTTTTGCAAGTATTTCCAAAGTATTTACAAACACCTCTAGTTAGAGCACAAATGCATTTAATCTTGTTTGGTGTCATTGTAATCGCCAAAAGCATAGTCGGCACTTCACAGAAATGTAGGCACTATGTTTCTACATCACCAAGTGAGTACATTGGGCCAATATGCAGTGTGTCTTGTTTTTGTCAGCTCAATGAGGCTGTGTGTAACTTATAAAAGTGAAATGAGCTCTCCTCCATGCTTGAACTTTGTGCAAACCCTACCACTGCCTAGCACTGAAGCAGTGTGTGGAGCAGATTCCACATGGAAATTTCACATGTCACACATGATGTCAGGTGAGAAACACTGTCAACTTGAGCACACACTGGTTTTAGTATTCAAAAGTTTCCCTCAGGCCATTGGTTAAAAATATCTGGTACACAGCAAAATGATAACGGGTGATGGAGGAACATAGTACATGTGAAACCTGTGAGGTATTGACAATATTCCCTAAAAGGAAGGTAAAGGAATCACACTGGAAATGCATGATTGTATGTAATGGTTATTGGGCCTTCTAGAAACAGCATTGTAGGGGCTACTTCTGATTTTACAAGTACTTGCAAACACTGTTCTGTTTTATTCATAAAAAAGCATATATTATTATCCATGCTTGATAACTGAGTTTATCTTCAAGTTGGAAGTCTCTCTCAGTCTTACACATATGCTCCATGACTATCAATCTGTTATTCCAGTTCACACTTATTGCATGACTATCCATCTGTTATTCTGGTTCACACTTATTGCATACCTATCCATCTGTTATTCCAGTTCACACTTATTGCATGACTATCCATCTGTTATTCTGGTTTACACTTATTGCATGACTATCCATCTGTTATTCTGGTTAACACTTATTGCATGTTCTGGTTCACACTTATTGCATGACTATCCATCTGTTATTCTGGTTCACACTTGTTGCATGACTATCCATCTGTTATTCTGGTTCACACTTATTGCATGACTATCCATCTGTTATTCTGGTTCACACTTATTGCATGTTCTAGTTCACACTTATTGCATGACTATCCATCTGTTATTCCGGTTCACACTTATTCCATGACTATCCATCTGTTATTCCAGTTCACACCTATTGCATGTTCTAGTTCACACTTATTGCATGGCTATCCATTTGTTATTCCGGTTCACACTTATTGCATGACTATCCATCTGTTATTCTGGTTCACACTTATTGCATGACTGTCCATCTGTTATTCTGGTTCACATATGTGTTCCATGACTATGCACCTGTTATTCTGGCTCACATTTATTATACCCCCGTTTATGAAGTAAATCGGGGGTATATAGCGTTCCGTCCGTCCGTCCTTCCGTCCGTCCGTCCGAGCTTTTGTATGGCCCATAACTTTTTAACCATGCACCCTAGCTTCACTAAACCTTCTACACACATTTAACACAAAGAGTACTTGTGCCTTTTGCTAGTTTGAAGATTCTGAACTTTTTAATTATTGCCGTTTCCATGGAAACATTAAGAAACTTAAACTTTTAGGGAGGGTGTTTTGTACGGCCTATATCTTTTTAACTATGCACCCTAGCTTCACCAAACTTTCTACAAACATTAACAACAATGAGTACTTGTGCCTTTTGCTAGTTTGAAGATTCTGAATTTTTTTATTTTTGCCGTTTCCATGGAATCATGGTGAAACATAAATTTTGGGTAGAGTTTTTGTACGATCCATGTTTTCAATATTATGTATCCTAGCTTCAGCAAACTTGCTACATTAACCACTATGATTGTTTTTTATCTTTTATGAGATTCTGAAAGTTTTCTCTTTTGCTGTTTTCATGGAAACATGATGGAATTTAGAAATTTTGATGACTGGTTTTGTATAGCTCATGGGGTTACAAAGGAAATGGCAGTTCCTCTGACTTAAAGCAATAGGTATATTTCATTAATTAACAAACTATCTACTATTTGTTGTTGACCAGCGGGGATAATTTGTTGCTAAACTATCCATTACTTATTCTGGCTCACATGTATTGCATGACTACCCATCACTTATTCTGGCACAGACTTATTTCATGACTATCCATCTGTTATTCTGGTTCATACATCTGTTGCATGCCTATCCATCTATTATTCTGGTTCATATATCTGTTGCATGCCTATCCATCTATTATTCTGGTTCATATATATGTTGCATGCCTATCCATCTATTATTCTGGTTCATATATCTGTTACATGACTATCCATCTATTATTCTGGTTCATATATCTGTTGCATGCCTATCCATCTATTATTCTGGTTCATATATCTGTTGCATGACTATCCATCTATTATTCTGGTTCATATATCTGTTGCATGACTATCCATCTATTATTCTGGTTCATATATCTGTTGCATAACTATCCATCTATTATTCTGGTCAAAACTTATTGCATGACTATTCATCTGTTATTCTGGCTCACACGTGTAACACAACTATCCATCTGTTATTCTGGCTCACACTTATAACTATTCATCTGTTATTCTGGTTCAGACATCTGTTGCATAAGTATCCATCTGTTTTTCTGGCTTATTAAGACGTGTTGTCTATTATTATAGGTCAAGTGTGTGTGGCATGCCTGTTAATGATCCAAATTTTGTATTTGAAAAGACTTTTTCAGGAGCTGATTTATGTGATGTTGCAGGCATGTAATGAAGTTGGTCAGACATGGATTGAGGCAGGAGTGAGTGAGAATGCTGTGTCAGGACATATACAGGTCATTGTGCCAGGGGAGACATCATGTTTTGCTGTAAGACACTTCATGACTACTTGCATGTAGAACCAAGAAGATCTGGGTACAGAATAGGTCTTCAGCAACCAATGCTTGCTGTAAGAGGCGACTTTGCTGGTCATAAGAGGTGACTAACAGGATTGGGTAGTCAGGCTTGCTGACTTGGTTGATGCATGTCATCGTATCCCGATTGTGAGGATCGATGCTCTTGATGTCAATCACTGGATTGTCTGGTCCAGACTCGATTATCTACAGAACGCTGTCATGTAGCTCTAATGTTGCTGAGTGCGGCGTTAAACAACAAACAAAAAGAGAAGAAGGAGAAGAAGTAAACATGTGATTCTATACTTCTAATAAACATGTAGCAGGCCTAAAAAGTCATCTGAGCTTACTGTGTTTACATCTCAAACTTTTTTCCAATGGCCATTATTTTCATGTAGATTTAAATTTCAACTCAAGAATCTTCAAATCTTTGAACATACCATATGCAATGTTAAAAGTATACTTGAATAGATAGGTTGATAAACAGCCTACAAAGTTTTACAAATCCTGTCACCTGCTCCATATTTGGTGATCCTGTCCCCTGCTCTCGTACTTGTGATCCTGTCCCCAACTCCAGTACTTGTGATCCTGTCCCCTGCTCTCGTACTTGTGATCCTGTTCCCTACTCTGTACCTGCTCCAGTACTTGTGATCCTGTCCCCGGCTCCATTACTTGTGATCCTGTCCCCAACTCCAGTACTTGTGATCCTGTTCCCTGCTCCAGTACTTGTGATCCTGTTCCCTACTCTATACCTGCTTCAGTACTTGTGATCCTGTTCCCTACTCTATACCTGTTCCAGTACTTGTGATCCTGTTCCCTACTCTGTACCTGCTCCAGTACTTGTGATCCTGTCCCCTGCTCCAGTACTTGTGATCCTGTTCCCTGCTCCAGTACTTGTGATCATGTTCCCTACTCTATACCTGGTCCAGTACTTGTGATCCTGTTCCCTACTCTGTACCTGTTCCAGTACTTGTGATCCTGTTCCCTACTCTGTACCTGCTCCAGTACTTGTGATCCTGTCCCCTGCTCCAGTACTTGTGATCCTGTCCCCTGCTCCAGTACTTGTGATCCCGTCTCCTAATCTATACCTGCTCCAGTATTTGTGATCCTGTTCTCTACTCTATACCTGCTCCAGTATTTGTGATCCTGTTCCCTACTCTATACCTGCTCCAGTACTTGTGATCCCATCCCCTACTCTATACCTGCTCCAGTATTTGTGATCCTGTCTCCTACTCTATACCTGCTCCAGTATTTGTGATCCTGTCTCCTAATCTATACCTGCTCCAGTATTTGTGATCCTGTTCCCTACTCTATACCTGCTCCAGTACTTGTGTTCCTGTCCCCTGTTCCAGTACTTGTGATCCTGTCCCCTGCTCCAGTACATATGATCCTGTCCCCAATTCCAGTACTTGTGATCCTGTTCCCTGCTCCAGTACTTGTGATCCTGTCCCCAACTCTGTACCTGTTCCAGTACTTGTGATCATGTTCCCTACTCTGTACCTGCTCCAGTACTTGTGATCCTGTTCCCTACTCTGTACCTGCTCCAGTACTTGTGATCCTGTTCCCTACTCTATACCTGTTCCAGTACTTGTGATCCTGTTCCCTACTCTGTACCTGCTCCAGTACTTGTGATCCTGTCCCCTGCTCCAGTACTTGTGATCCTGTTCCCTGCTCCAGTACTTGTGAACATGTTCCCTACTCTATACCTGCTCCAGTACTTGTGATCCTGTTCCCTACTCTGTACCTGCTCCAGTACTTGTGATCCTGTTCCCTACTCTGTACCCGCTCCAGTATTTGTGATCCCTTCCCCTACTCTATACCTACTCCAGTACTTGTGATCCTGTCCCCTACTCTATACCTACTCCAGTACTTGTGATCCCATCCCCTACACAAAACCTACTCCAGTATTTGTGATCCCATCCCCTACTCTATACCTGCTCCAGTATTTGTGATCCTGTTCCCTACTCTATACCTGCACCAGTACTTGTGATCCTGTTCCCTACTCTATACCCGTTCCAGTATTTGTGATCCTGTTCCCTACTCTATACCTGCTCCAGTACTTGTGATCCTGTCCCCTACTCTATACCTGTTCCAGTATTTGTGATCCTGTTCCCTACTCTATACTTGCTCCAGTACTTGTGATCCCATCCCCTACTCTATACCTGCTCCAGTATTTGTGATCCTGTTCCCTACTCTATACCTGCTCCAGTACTTGTGATCCTGTTCCCTACTCTATACCTGCTCCAGTATTCGTGATCCTGTTCTCTACTCTATCTCTGCTCCAGTACTTGTGATCCCATCCCCTACTCTATACCTGCTCTAGTATTTGTGATCCTGTCTCCTACCCTTTACCTGCTCCAGTATTTGTGATCTTGTTCCCTACTCTATACCTGCTCCAGTATTTGTGATCCTGTTCCCTACTCTATACCTGCTCCAATACTTGTGATCCCATCCCCTACTCTATACCTGCTCCAGTACTTTTGATCCTGTTCCCTACTCTATACCTGCTCCAGTACTTGTGATCCTGTTCCCTGCTCTATACCTGCTCCAGTACTTGTGATCCTGTCTCCTACTCTATACCTGCTCCAGTGTTTGTGATCCTGTCTCCTACTCTATACCTGCTCAAGTATTTGTGATCCTGTTCCCTACTCTATACCTGCTCCAGTACTTGTGATCCCATCCCCTACTCTATACCTGCTCCAGTACTTGTGATCCCATCCCCTACTCTATACCTGCTCCAGTATTTGTGATCCTGTCTCCTACCCTATACCTGCTCCAGTATTTGTGATCCTGTCTCCTACTCTATACCTGCTCCAGTATTTGTGATCCTGTTCCCTACTCTATACCTGCTCCAGTACTTGTGATCCCATCCCCTACTCTATACCTGCTCCAGTACTTGTGATCCTGTTCCCTACTCTATACCTGCTCCAGTACTTGTGATCCTGTTCCCTACTCTATACCTGCTCCAGTACTTGTGATCCTGTCTCCTACTCTATACCTGCTCCAGTGTTTGTGATCCTGTCTCCTACTCTATACCTGCTCCAGTATTTGTGATCCTGTTCCCTACTCTATACCTGCTCCAGTACTTGTGATCCCATCCCCTACTCTATACCTGCTCCAGTACTTGTGATCCTGTTCCCTACTCTATACCTGGATCATGACTTGTGATTCTATCCTCTGTTCAGTCTTATAGTTTGGTATTGGTCTGTAATTAGTTGTGTACTGCTAAGATAAGTGTGTGTTACTGGTGCAGTGTGCTCCCCCATTGGTTGTGGCAACCAACACTGATGAAAAGACTTTGAAGAGAGAGGGTGTGTGTGCAGCCAGCCTTCCCACCACAATGGCAATTGTTGCTGGATTTCTCGTGCAGAATACACTCAAGTTAGTACTGTTCTCAAGTTAGTAGTGTATTCAGTATGGCAGTATATCAAAACAATAGGTTTTACTGTGGCAGTTTAGTGAATCTGACATACTGATAAAAACACTGTGAATAATTGTCCTACACTAACATACAAAGGAAATAAAGTAAGTGTGAATGAAATGTCGAAACATGTTTTCAATTAGGAATTAACAATGTATAATCTCATAATGTAGCACTTTTATTGAAGTTAAAGATTGACAAGAATAAATGCCAGTACATGATAAAATTGTTGCAGATATTTGTTGAAGTTTGGTGAAGTGACATACTACCTTGGTTACAATGCACTCCAAGACTTCTTCCCCACCATGACAATGAGGCCTAACCCCCAGTGTGATGATAGCCACTGCAGGAGACAACAGAAGCTTTATCAGGTACAGGAGGATTTTCACAACATTGTGTGCATATTGTTTATGACTATATGGGCTAGATATACATCCTATGAGATTTCACATGGGTCTGCATGTAAGAGATAGCGCGTGTGTTTCCAAGTAGAAATAATCAATCATGAGATTGGCTGAAAATAGGGGTCATGGTGCACCGTGAAGTGCACAGCACTTTGATATTCATGCAGCTTGAATTATACAACCTTTTGTTTCAAAGTTGTACCTCATTAGACATGTGTTTCCCCAAAAAAAGACATCATGTCATTAAACCTGAAGTGCATGTACCACATTCACACCATGCACCAATAAGCCTCCCATGCTCCATTTCTACATGAATCTGTAGTACCCATTACAAGCTCTCTTACCAAGTGGGAAACTTTAAATGACAATCCATATTTTGTCGTATATAATGCACATGTTTTACAGAATATACAGCTGTTGTGCATGATATACAACGGTAGTTCTAGGAAACAAAGGTAAAATATTTGGCAATGTGATTGCATTTGGACTGGACTTTTATAGTCAGTTAACTCCCTTGTGTGTATATATATATATATATATATATATATATATATATATATATATATATATATATATGCTTGCTTGCATTATTAAACATTGCATTTATATCAACAAAAAGACATTTTGGATAGCAGAAATACCAACTTAGACATACGCTGAAAACAAACAACTTTGTATTCCACATCACTGTTTATTGAGCAGCACTTGTAACAAGTATATAAACATGTCATTACACCCTTGAATTGTCACTGCTGGGGTCAAGACAAGAGTTCTACTCACTTATGTCTTTGTTCTTTGCGACTGTGTCAAAGGCCGACACGAGCCAGTGTGCATGTATTGTTTTAGCGAAAGTACTCTACTCAGCGCTAATAAGCAGTGCTATTTGGTGTGTTGTGTGTGATTGGATTAATGTAAGGTTGGATTAAGGTGACGATTCTCCTGTAAACCTGACAGAGGACATTTTCTTTAGATGCTTGAGAGGAGGGGGGTGTCGCATTCATATTGAGTCGCATATTTGGCAAGGGACCAGCGATCATATATTCTTTTGGAGACACATTAATTTCACGATTTACATTAAATATATATGTATGTATTCCTACTTCATTACTGCCAACTATCTTGGATACTAGATGCCATATCCTCCCAGTCCCTCTGGTGTATACATTACAAGATGCACTCACACACTATAGCTGTGGTGTACTGTAATCCATACACTTACCACCTGGGCCAACAGGCACATATACTATAGTTGTGGTGTACTGTAATCCATACACTCACCACCTGGGCCAACAGGCACATATACTATAGCTGTGGTGTACTCTAATCCATACACTCACCACCTGGGCCAACAGGCACATATACTATAGCTGTGGTGTACTGTAATCCATACACTCACCACCTGGGCCAACAGGCACATATACTATAGTTGTAGTGTACTGTAATCCATACACTCACCACCTGGGCCAACAGGCACATATACTATAGCTGTGGTGTACTCTAATCCATACACTCACCTCCTGGGCCAACAGGCACATATACTATAGTTGTAGTGTACTGTAATCCATACACTCACCACCTGGGCCAACAGGCACATATACTATAGTTGTAGTGTACTGTAATCCATACACTCACCACCTGGGCCAACAGGCACATATACTATAGCTGTGGTGTACTGTAATCCATACACTCACCACCTGGGCCAACAGGAACATATACTATAGCTGTGGTGTACTCTAATCCATACACTCACCACCTGGGCCAACAAGCACATATACTATAGCTGTGGTGTACTGTAATCTATACACTCACCACCTGGGCCAACAAGCACATATACTATAGCTGTGGTGTACTCTAATCCATACACTCACCACCTGGGCCAACAGGCACATATACTATAGCTGTGGTGTACTGTAATCCATACACTCACCTCCTGGGCCAACAAGCACATATACTATAGCTGTGGTGTACTGTAATCCATACACTCACCTCCTGGGCCAACAAGCACATATACTATAGCTGTGGTGTACTGTAATCCATACACTCACCACCTGGGCCAACAGGAACATATACTATAGCTGTGGTGTACTGTAATCCATACACTCACCACCTGGGCAAACAAGCACATATACTATAGCTGTGGTGTACTCTAATCCATACACTCACCTCCTGGGCCAACAGGAACATATACTTTAGCTGTGGTGTACTGTAATCCATACACTCACCCCCTGGGCCAACAGGAACATATACTATAGCTGTGGTGTACTCTAATCCAGACACTCACCACCTGGGCCAACAGGCACATATACTATAGTTGTGGTGTACTGTAATCCATACACTCACCACCTGGGCCAACAAGCACATATACTATAGCTGTGGTGTACTCTAATCCATACACTCACCTCCTGGGCCAACAGGAACATATACTATAGCTGTGGTGTACTGTAATCCATACACTCACCCCCTGGGCCAACAGGAACATATACTATAGCTGTGGTGTACTCTAATCCATACACTCACCACCTGTGCCAACAGGCACATATACTATAGTTGTGGTGTACTGTAATCTATACACTCACCCCCTGGGCCAACAAGCACATATACTATAGTTGTGGTGTACTGTAATCCATACACTCACCTCCTGGGCCAACAGGCACATATACTATAGCTGTGGTGTACTCTAATCCATACACTCACCACCTGGGCCAACAGGCACATATACTATAGTTGTGGTGTACTGTAATCTATACACTCACCACCTGGGCCAACAGGCACATATACTATAGTTGTAGTGTACTGTAATCCATACACTCACCACCTGGGCCAACAGGCACATATACTATAGCTGTGGTGTACTCTAATCCATACACTCACCTCCTGGGCCAACAGGAACATATACTATAGTTGTGGTGTACTGTAATCCATACACTCACCACCTGGGCCAACAGGCACATATACTATAGCTGTGGTGTACTCTAATCCATACACTCACCACCTGGGCCAACAGGCACATATACTATAGTTGTAGTGTACTGTAATCCATACACTCACCACCTGGGCCAACAGGCACATATACTATAGCTGTGGTGTACTCTAATCCATACACTCACCACCTGGGCCAACAGGCACATATACTTTAGTTGTAGTGTACTGTAATCCATACACTCACCACCTGGGCCAACAGGCACATATACTATAGCTGTGGTGTACTCTAATCCATACACTCACCTCCTGGGCCAACAAGGACATTTATTATGTATTTTTGTTGCCTTTCTGCAGGAAAGAGAAGAACTAAAACCGAAGGAAGAGAAAAAGGAGATGAAGGTTGAAGAGATTATCCATGAGGATGACTGGGGTATGTTCCACTCAGTAGTATAAGTATTGACAGTTCTGCCGCAACTCCACTGGAACCAGATTAGGAGTGCAATACCTAATCTTTCTATGCTTATTATTGAAGTCTTGTTCGGAGATGTACCGGTAGATGCCTTCGAAATATTACCAGGTCTATCGATTAAATGGCTCAAGAAACACGAGCGTCGATGTTGCAGTATTATTCATATTGGAGCATCACCCGTTGCAACCCTTGAGGGGGTCCAAATTATTAAAAGTGACAGCATTTCTCTTACTAAGATATTCTTGCCGTATAATATTCATTTGATAAGGTTGATGTATACTCTCAAAACATTTAAGCAAGATCAATTAAAGACTATTATATGACCGTAATATACACTATGAGTTTATATCCGGCGCTCGATGAGGCATTTGAAAAGATGGATACTGTTGATGGATTTTGATTACATCAAATAAGCGACATAAAACATCGCATAGCCGTGAATGCTCTGGACGGAGTTGACACCGTGCTTGTAACAGCTGGAATGGGACTCGGTGTAGCCGGTGTTGGTTTATTATCAACTATAATCGCCACGCCTATCGTACTTGGTATGGAAGTGGCAGCCAGAGTCTCAGGACTGGCAGGAATAGCGATAAAATTTATTTCTCATAAGTTGCAAAAGAAAGCATTAAAACATGATAATGTTCGGATACTTGCCGAAGCAAAGTTGAACAGCATTGAGGATCATATTTCAACAGCACTGGCTAATTGTAAGATATCCGAGGATGAGTTTCGTGTAGTGTTGTCAGAACTAACCAAATACAATGCAATGAAGAAGGAGATTCGATCCAATTCTCATGAGACCAGTGGTATTAGTGAAGACGAGAAAAAAAAGTTCATAGAACAGGGGAGACAACAAGCGCATCAATTATTCCGTGCCAAAACCAAAGAACTGGTTGGAGATTGAAAATAGATTGTTTGATCACATTTAAATGAATGCTTACATAAGTCTATAATAATGTCAACAAAACATTTATGCTCAGGGACATAATTATAAAATGGAGAGAATTACCATAAGGTATATATTATATCAGTAATGTCAAACCGACCAAATACGGTCATCAATTGTTTCTTTCCAATTTCGAAAAAGAGTATATAGTCTGGTCTAGTAAAATGAATGAAGAACTTAGTAAAAATGTTGAATATCACTTTGTTCAAAATAATGGTATGCGTATGAGTAAAAACAATAGAGAATATTTTCATTACAATTTAGTTTAATCTCATGACAATCTTTGAATCGCATCATCATTTTTGCATAGAAAATTCCCTCTGTAGTATAGTAATTGGGTATAAATCTGGCTCCAATGGAGTTGCGGCAGAACTGTCATTACTTATCAGTGATCAGTGATAGTGTCCTGACAGGGGTATGTGTCTCTCTCATTAACTGTAGCAGATCTGTGATAGTGTCCTGACAGGGGTATGTGTCTCTCTCATTAACTGTAGCAGATCAGTGATAGAGAGTCCTGACAGGGGTATGTGTCTCTCTCATTAACTGTAGCAGATCAGTGAAAGTGTCCTGACAGGGGTATGTGTCTCTCTCATTAACTGTAGCAGATCAGTGATAGAGAGTTCTGACAGGGGTATGTGTCTCTCTCATTAACTGTAGCAGATCAGTGATAGAGAGTTCTGACAGGGGTATGTGTCTCTCTCATTAACTGTAGCAGATCAGTGATAGAGAGTCCTGACAGGGGTATGTGTCTCTCTCATTAACTGTAGCAGATCAGTGAAAGTGTCCTGACAGGGGTATGTGTCTCTCTCATTAACTGTAGCAGATCAGTGATAGAGAGTTCTGACAGGGGTATGTGTCTCTCTCATTAACTGTAGCAGATCAGTGAAAGTGTCCTGACAGGGGTATGTGTCTCTCTCATTAACTGTAGCAGATCAGTGATAGAGAGTTCTGACAGGGGTATGTGTCTCTCTCATTAACTGTAGCAGATCAGTGAAAGTGTCCTGACAGGGGTATGTGTCTCTCTCATTAACTGTAGCAGATCAGTGATAGAGAGTTCTGACAGGGATATGTGTCCCTCTCATTAACTGTAGCAGATCAGTGAAAGTGTCCTGACAGGGGTATGTGTCTCTCTCATTAACTGTAGCAGATCAGTGATAGAGAGTTCTGACAGGGGTATGTGTCTCTCTCATTAACTGTAGCAGATCAGTGAAAGTGTCCTGACAGGGGTATGTGTCTCTTTCATTAACTGTAGCAGATCAGTGATAGAGAGTTCTGACAGGGGTATGTGTCTCTCTCATTAACTGTAGCAGATCAGTGAAAGTGTCCTGACAGGGGTATGTGTCTCTCTCATTAACTGTAGCAGATCAGTGATAGTGTCCTTACAGGGGTATGTGTCTCTCTCATTAAATGTAGCAGATCAGTGATAGTGTCCTCACAGGGATATGTGTCTCTCTCATTAACTGTAGCAGATCAGTGAAAGTGTCCTGACAGGAGTATATTTGTCTCTTATTAACTGTAGCAACATTTTTGTAAAATATCATAATTTGTTAATTTAGGAATAGAGTTGGTTTCTGAGACAACAGAGGCAGAATTGCAAGCTGCAGAGGGCTCAGTACCAGAACTGACCAAGGGTGTTACAGTTGCATATACAAAACCTGCCCAAAACCAGGTTAGTAATACCAGGAAGAAACATGATGAATAGTCATTTTAGCTCAAGTGAAAGTCAAGAGAATTTTGTTGTGGCACAGTTTTCATCCATTCATCCATTGTAAACTTTTCCATTTTTGACATCTCCTCTAAGAAACACAAGGTCTTGAAAGATGAAACATGGTTGATCACAGCTATCGCAACAGTAGTCGGATCCAAGTTTATAACATGCACGCTAGCTATGTCAGCCATATTGAAAATGTTTACCCACCTATGGCCTTAACATGACCCTTTTGTGCCAAGAAATTCTGTTTGTCCTTCCTAAACATGACCCTTTTGTGCCAAGAAATTCTGTTTGTCCTTCCATCCTTCCTAACTTGGTGAACCCTTTTTATACCTATAGGAGGTGCAGTGCAAATTTTGATTTTGATAAGTTGATTTTCTGAGAAAAGATTGCTCTTTTAATGTTTTGAACTTAGAAATATGTTGTACTAGGGGTTGGGAATATTAGTTAGCCCTGCTCACTTTTTGTCTTGTTTTACTAGTTTCACAAAGTTTAAATCTTGTGTATTATATCCAAGAAATGGCCTGTGAAGGGGACTATGCTTGTCGTAAGAGGCGACTTATGGGATCGGGTGGTTTGGCTCGCTGACCTGGTTGATACATGTCATTGCAACCCAATTGTGTGACTCCAGACTCGATTATTTATGTAACACCGGCATTTAGCTGAAATATTGCTCAGTGTGGCGTTAAACAACAAACAAACAAACAATCCAAGAACTGGTGTCCCTTGAGAGAGCTCACAGAATTCAAACCATCATGGCCACCACAACAACCTTATTTGAAATGGCCGATGATCTACAGAGCCTTGTTACTGTTGTTTCCAGATTCAGTTAATTTCAAATCAATACAATTACATTGAAGGTAATTGAAATGAACCTATTACTTATGGTCTATAAAATGAATACCCCCAATTAGCTGAGAATTAAGCAATTAGCTGAGAATTAAGCCTGCATGCACAGTGATCTGTTTTCAGCCCGGTGGTGCTAAGTTAGTTGAGTTAGCTACATAAGTGCCACCCTCTCATCATCCTATAGTCTTCATGATATATACTTAATTTAAATCCTCCATTATCATGTCTGGTTGTGCTCATCATATGTTGTCCTCCTTGTCTGCATTTGAATGTCAGCCAACTAACAAATTCAACTTTGATACCCTTTGTGATTTATTTCCCTTTCGCCTCCGGGATCTAGTGGTAGAGCATCTGCCTGGAGAGCAGAAGGTCAGGGGTTTGAATGCTCGACTGCATTATACCAAAAGACTTTGAAAGAGGGTACTTGTGGTTACCCTGCATTGTGCTTGGCATTATAGAGGCTAAAACACACACACACACACACACACACACACACACACAAACACACACACACACACACACACCACACACACACACACACACACACACACACACACACACACACACACACACACACACACACACACACACACACACACACACACACACAGAGCTATGCACTAATTTTGGATGCAATGTTAATTTCACCTCACCTCTCTACCTTCATATTAACTTCCCCCTATCTATTGTTATATATGTGCACCACTTCGCATTACTGTTAAGCATCTTTGACACCTGTCAGATGCTACCTTACTTCTGATTGGCCCCTTGGTCCACTTCCTGTCCACCTTCCTGTCTCATCTGCCCTCCTCGTGCATTGTGCAGGAACTCTTGATGGAGAGAGGACTCTTGTTAACAGCGACCCTCCCATTATCCTTGTTATCTGATTAAGAATAAGACTTCACCATCACCATCCAGATCTGCCTTATGTTTTACCTAACAGCCCAGTGGCTGGACATACCATTACTAAACGTAGCATGCCGATGAAGCAGCCATAAAACTTTCTTGTCCCGTGATGGGATTCAAACTACACTGACAAGGTAAGGATGTCATCTGTGGGATGACTCCATGCCCTGCTACATGTTCATCAGTTGTCAGACCAGAGGAGTATGTCCCTAATTGATGTGTAGTCAACTCTTTGAAATGGGTACTAATTATCACCTGTTTGTTGTTATTAGGGTCTGTTATAGAAAAGTTCAATTCAATAGAAAAAAGTTCATTAGAAACTTGATTAGTATAAGACTATTAATTTTCTTTGCAACCTATTGCTTTGTCATATGTTAGGATGCTAACTTGACTCTGAATGAATGTGCCATTACGATACAAGGTTATTCTTGCCATCATGGTAAGGGAAGTAACTCTTATTGCTTTGTTTCCAGATGTCGGACAACAAATCAACGGTTGGTGCAACAGAGAAGAGTCTAGAGGATCTAATGAAGGAAATGAAGGGATTATAGCAGTGTGGCTATTTTCACTTGCACCTTGATTTTGAAGGCATCTGTACAACAGATATTCTTGAATCTTTTTTGTTCACAAATATCCTTAAACTGGACACAATCCATCTTGAAATACCTTGCTGTCTTCTGAAGAGTTAGGTGATAGGACTATTTCCAAGAAGTGTGGTCAAAGTTATCAAACAAACAACAAATGTGTGTGGTAGCTCCTATCATGTTTGCATATGTTGTTAGTATTTATATGAATATATGTAGTGTAGAAATTAGTTGGAAGCTGTGATAAAATGTCAAGGTTTAATATGTATTTTGATCAACAAGAAGAGGTATTTCTGCTGTAGGTCACTGTTTGCTGATCTCTAGATAGTTTTGTGGGAGCAGATCTTGTGGTGCTTGTTTGACCTACCAAATGATTATCCTCCAAGTGTTTCAGACTGGTCAGCAGAACTGATTAATGTCTACAACATATATTCTTTTCCATGAACGTGTTTTGGCTCAAATTATGTGTATCGTGTTATCATTGTATACATTTGATTTGTTATATAACACAATGTAAGGAGCAGTATATGTTAGAGTGTTAGATCAAACTGACAAACTGACAAACTGACAGGGGTGCTTGGGTACTAGGACTTTAAACTGACCACTCCAAGGAATATGACAAATATTGTAGTTGCTCTCATATCTTTGCAGCTAGTGTGCCAAACAAACCTCATTGTCTGACCCACATCATCCAGCAACCCTGTCTTCTGGACACTCTCTGTAAAATCTTCATCTAGATTAGCAAGGTTTCACTGTTCAAAAATATCTACAACTATTTGTGTGTGCTACATGTAGTGTCTACATGTGGCCAGTCTGTACCACTATTGGTATGTGCTACATGTAGTGTCTATATGTGGCCTGTCTGTACCACTACTGGTGTGTGGGCGGTCAGGTAGCCTAGTGGTTAAAGCGTTGGCTCGTCACGCCGAAGACCCGGGTTCGATTCCCGACATGGGTACAGTGTGTGAAGCCCATTTCTGGTGTCTCCCGCCGTGATATTGCTGGAATATTGCTAAAAGCGGCGTAAAACCATACTCACTCACTCACTCACTACTGGTGTGTGCTACATGTAGTGTCTACATGTGGCCTGTCTGTACCACTATTGGTGTGTGCTACATGTAGTGTCTACATGTGGCCTGTCTGTACCACTATTGGTGTGTGCTACATGTAGTGTCTACATGTGGCCTGTCTGTACCACTACTGGTGTGTGCTACATGTAGTGTCTACATGTGGCCTGTCTGTACCACTATTGGTGTGTGCTACATGTAGTATCTACATGTGGCCTATTTATACTAGTCAGGATAAGATAATCAGTATGGTCTGGGGAATGATATAGGAAATGGTCAAGATCATTAGTTACAAAATACTTACTATAAAGATTGTGGTTATTAATCCCCTCCAGCAAAACTTGGTCTGTACTTTCTCAAGGATGTGGCCCATGAATGTTTGTTGTCTGGATCATTCCAGGGTGAACGTCAGCTTACAAGTATGTAGCTCACCTGATTGATGACATTCTTGTTCACTGACAAATTGTCAACAAACACATTATAAATAAATTCCAAGTCATTCCATGTCATTTGATTGGCTACTGCATCCTGATAAAATGATAATGGAAGGGGCGGGGCTTGTGTTGCGTTATTGTGCTGAACAGTGTTTCTGATTTTTTATTGTTGTCTACGTTTTTTGTGCATTAATGAATAATGATTAAATATGCAGTCAGAAATTATTATTGTTGACATATTTATTTATAAGTATTGACTTCAATGTTTCTTCTTTCTGGAAGTGTAACTTAAAAACCAGTGTGCACACTGTGTAAATCCACATTGGAAATTGAAGCAAGCTGACAACCACAATAAACATCATATACTCACTATTTCAAAGACTAATGAACTATGACTTTAGAAAATGGTACCATGAAAGTTTCTCTGGGTGTACATGTTAATCCCATGTTAATGTTTGTGTGATATTGCACGGATTAGACTAACATTGTAAATGTTTTGCAGCCTTGGTCTGCGCAGACCCTGTTTAATAACCGGATCCCTGGTGTTCTAAAAGAACAGCAGGCTGCTTCGTCTTCCACGGCTTCGCGGCATACGTTGGATCTGGTAGGGTCTCTGCACAGACGCCTGGGTGGTGCCCCTAAACGGAGTGCCCCTCAGGATGCTGCGGCCGGGAAGTCCAAGGGGTTGGTGTCTTCTTCCTCCGGGAAGAGGCCCTGGTAAGGGCAACCTGCCGCCCTTTCGGGGGAAGAAGGAACACTGGGGGAAGTCTAAGCCGTCTCCGGGACGGTAAGGGCTCCTCCAAAAAACTCTCACTTGCAATTTCCCTCTTTCCGACTGTTTAACCTGATCTAAGATTTAGTTCACAGGGATACTGTGTTTTCTTCCGCTGCGGCGACGAAATACCTATCCAGTGGGGCCGTTTGGAGTCACCAATGTTTGGCAAGACGATTGAGCCTTACGGTATGCGCTTGACAGTGCTTTGGTATTCCTATATGGTAAAGCCAAGCTGGGAGCATGCGCATCGAGCGCTTCCGCCTTGTTGTTTACTTCTGCTGGTCGGAAGGAACATGAGCGGTCAGGTTCGGGTTGTAGGTGCTCCCCACCACCTACTGTGGTAATCAGCCTCGGTATAACAAGTGGTAACGTATTACTTATTGTAATTTGTAGAAATTTCCTATTCGGAATATTCTATAGTAATATGTTACCACTCTGGCTGATGCCCGCCTGCCCGTCCCCTGAGCACTTGCTCTCGCTAGAGACAAGAGTAAAGGGTGTCACATGACAGCATAGGTGGCTAGGCACGTGCTACATGAGGTAATTGAGATCTCTGTGGAAGATTTCGCTATAAGAGCAGTTGTGGGAGACAACAGCCTACGTATAACATGTGGTAACGTATTACTATAGAATATTCCGAATAGGAAAATTCTACAATTATGTCATATGAACTACTCAAAAAAAGAAACGTCTACAAGACAGCTTTAAGAATTTTTCTTCTAATGCTTTTTCTAATGTCTATTATGCAGCTGTTCTCGACATCAGAACTTGTTAACATTGTTATATCATTCTCAGTTTCTTTGGAATATTTAACTTCCTGGAATGTAAATTCATATTGCATGTATCCTATTTCAGATCCTTCCACATCAAATATCATTTGCTATTATGTCAAAGGTCAAGTATCTTTAGCTGTTATGGAAAGTTTGTTGACATTAGATATCCTAAAATGGACTTCTTCCATATGGACAAGGGAAATTAGTTTGGCACATGAGAAGACAAGGTCATGAGATATCTTAATTTCACTGAAATGTTTTTGAATATATCTTCTCTTTAGTCTTTTTAGTTAGTGTGAAACTTCTTCAGCATGGGGTTCTGTTCCAGAAGGTTTTGTTCAAAATTAGACAAATGTCAAGGGGAGTGGTGAAGTTTTTGTGAGATGTGGTTGTATCATTGCCAGGTTTTTCGGCTTGGTAATCTCTACTGGTTTGAAACTTTATAAACAAATCCTACCACATGACATGTTTCTGGCATGTCTGACTTCTTTTCCGACCGGACGTGCATGCTGCTATGTTATGGTTTTGGTGTCTTGATACAGCTGCTTATGTTTTTACAACTTCTTGCATTAATGTATTGTGGGGGGTTTGAATGGAGCTAAGGAACAAGCAGAAAGTGGAAGAATCTGAAGGCTAGGTTTTGGAAGGAACAAGGTCATTCCCATCTTCCTGAGGCATGGAACTGACTATTTCTGGGCTTGACAGTGGCGGCTATTATGAGTGATGTTCCTTCTATGTCCCCCCACTATTAACCAATCAGATTCCACTTCTCATATCACTTGCATTTGCTTCAAGCAAAATGGTGGCGCCCAGTCAAGACGATCTGATCGATAATCAAAATCTATATTGTAATAAAAGGGGTCTTAGCTCCATAAGTGCATCAAATCATGTCAGCAACTTGATTAAAAACATGAAAAGGTGCGGGAAAATATCTGTTGACGCTGAGTTGACAAGATGCTTTGCAATCCAGCAATCGACCGAAATCTGCACCACAGTTCGGGAACTTGCTGTCGATTTCATTATGCAGTTTTTATTGGACTATGCATAGACTTGTTTGTCCAGCCAAAATAAAACTCCATAACTCCAGCCTAGTTTGCCACTGGGTCATTCCAGTCTAATGACACTTTCTCAACTGACAGCTGAAAGCTGGGAACGGGCCTTGCAGATAGATGGATGTTATTAAAGTTGCATGTTTTTAAGTAAACATCTTACCGTGAAGCCATTATTTAAATTTTATCTTTTATTTGTAATCAAAAGCATTTACCAAGCTCTTAATGGTAGTGCACACGATCTGTATTTTCAGCAATTTTATCCGGTAGACGACAGAAATTGCATTTTGTACAAATTTAGTTTTTAAATGCGGAATAAATTCTAAAACCAATACATCTGGTATTACTGCAGTCAAGAGAGGTCACACAATGAATCCAGCTGCCATGTAAATGGATTCCAAATGAGGATAGCTGCAATAAGTAAACACAGTTGGCACAATGCATAAGATATTTTGCATTTTATATTTTTTCACTCAAGATTGTTCTCACAATACCATCATACTGATTGGTGATACACAAGAACACCCTGAAACATCTGGTAATTCTGACACAAGAAATCATTTAATAACGATACATCTAGCAAAGCTGAGCTACATACTCAGCCCACAAAAACATGTCTAACAGGGTGAATTACATGCTCTACCCACAATGACTCATCTGCCAAAGTGTGTAACATTCTCTACCCACAATGACTCATCTGCCAAAATGTTACTGGTACATGCTCAACCCACAATGACTCATCTGCCAAAGTGTTACTGGTACATGCTCAACCCACAATGACTCATGTACCAAAGTGTGTTACATGCTTTACCCACAATGACTCATCTGCCAAAGTGTGTTACATGCTTTACCCACAATGACTCATGTACCAAAGTGTTACTGGTACATGCTCTACCCACAATGACTCATCTGCCAAAGTGTGTTACATACTCTACCCACAATGACTCATGTACCAAAGTGTGTTACATCCTCTACCTACAATGACTCATCTCCCAAAGTGTGTTACATGCTCAACCTACAATGACTCATGTACCAAAGTGTGTTACATCCTCTACCCACAATGCCTCATCTGCCAAAGTGTGTTACATGTTTTACCCACAATGACTCATCTGCCAAAGTGTGTTACATGCTTTACCCACAATGACTCATCTGCCAAAGTGTGTTACATGCTTTACCCACAATGACTCATCTGCCAAAGTGTGTTACATGCTTTACCCACAATGACTCATCTACCAAAATGTTACATGCTTTAGCCACAATGACTCATGTACCAAAGTGTGTTGCATACTTTACCCACAATGATTCATCTGCCAAAGTAAGTTACATGCTTTAGCCACAATGACTTATCTGCCAAAGTGTGTTACATGCTTTACCCACAATGACTCATCTGCCAAAGTGTTACTGGTACATGCTTTACCCACAATGACTCATCTGCAAAAGTGTTACTGGTACATGCTCTACCCACAATGACTCATGTACCAAAGTGTGTTACATCCTCTACCCACAATGACTCATGTACCAAAGTGTGTTACATGCTTTACCTACAATGCCTTATCTTCCAAAGTGTGTTACATGCTTTAGCCACAATGACTTATCTGCCAAAGTGTGTTGCATATTTTACCCACAATGACTCATCTGCCAAAGTGTGTTACATGCTTTAGCCACAATGACTTATCTGCCAAAGTGTGTTACATGCTTTACCCACAATGACTCATGTACCTAAGTGTGTTACATGCTTTACCCACAATGCCTCATCTGCCAAAGTGTGTTACATGCTTTACCCACAATGACTCATGTACCAAAGTGTTACTGGTACATGCTCTACCCACAATGACTCATGTACCAAAATGTGTTACATCCTCTACCCACAATGACTCATCTGCCGAAGTGTGTTACATGCTTTACCCACAATGACTCATCTGCCAAAGTGTGTTACATACTCTACCCACAATGACTCATGTACCAAAGTGTGTTACATCCTCTACCTACAATGACTCATCTCCCAAAGTGTGTTACATGCTCAACCTACAATGACTCATGTACCAAAGTGTGTTACATCCTCTACCCACAATGCCTCATCTGCCAAAGTGTGTTACATGTTTTACCCACAATGACTCATCTGCCAAAGTGTGTTACATGCTTTACCCACAATGACTCATCTGCCAAAGTGTGTTACATGCTTTACCCACAATGACTCATCTGCCAACGTGTGTTACATGCATTACCCACAATGACTCATCTGCCGAAGTGTGTTACATGCTTAACCCACAATGACTCATCTACCAAAATGTTACATGCTTTACCCACAATGACTCATGTACCAAAGTGTGTTGCATACTTTACCCACAATGATTCATCTGCCAAAGTAAGTTACATGCTTTAGCCACAATGACTTATCTGCCAAAGTAAGAAAGTGCGTAAGGATGTCGCTTTACGTCGACACAATGACTCATCTGCCGAAGTGTGTTACATGCTTAACCCACAATGACTCATCTACCAAAATGTTACATGCTTTACCCACAATGACTCATGTACCAAAGTGTGTTGCATACTTTACCCACAATGACTCATCTACCAAAATGTTACATGCTTTACCCACAATGATTCATCTGCCAAAGTAAGTTA